TTTATTTTTGCATGTTATCACTGTGCCCGTTTTTTGCTTTTATTCTTTGTTCCGCAAAGTGCGCTCTTTTAGTTTGTAGTGATGTGACAATATATAGGGTTCAGCCTCCTGATGAGTCGGTGAAACTCCGACGAAACAGTTTGTCACAGCCCCTCGTTTGTTGTCCTCTTCTCCCTCTCTGCCTACGGTTTACCGGGCAGTTCTATTTGACGATATGTATATTGATGCTTAACCACAGCCGGGGTTAAGGTGGATTATCACTTACAGTGTAATCGGTTAGGGGATTCTGCAGACTGTTGAGGGTTCAGCCTCCTGGTGAGTCGGTGAAACTCCGACGAAACAGTTTGCCACAGCCCCTCGTTTGTTGTCCTCTTCTCTCCCTCCCTCTCTGCCTACAGTTTACTGTCGGCAGCTCTGTTTGACGATATATATGTATTATGTATGCATGTGTCAGCATGTACAATACTAAATAGTATATACGTGTTTACAGCTACATGTATTGGAGCCCTGGCTAGCAGTGTACGTTTTTTTTCTTTCTTTCTATACAGATGTTTCCATGTGTGCATCGATGTATAATAGTATATTCAATTAGATATACTGGTGGATCTACTCCGCATTCTGCATGGTGTCTCTGAAGTCTTTAACGTCAAAGTGCTCCACGTTATCTATCTTTGTTTCCTTGCCTGCTCAAACCTCGTAAGCGGTCGTACTCATTCGCAGTCATCTGTACTTCCCTCTTCTTGTCCACCTGCAAGTCACCCTGTTTTTCACCAAAGGCCTTCCTGCACCCTCCTTCTTTCTATACTTGGACGCAGGAGATTGGATTGCTCTCCTCACCTCGACTTCCCTCTCCTATGTTGAATTGACTATGAATCACTTTTACTAGCTGTTTTTACATAAATTATTAATAAAAAGGCTGTTGGGATAATAATAAAAAGTGCCGTTGAAATGAAAGCAAGAATATGACTCGTTCTCAACAGTGAACACAATGTCCTTGTCAAATAGCCGTCGTGCTTATCTGCCGCCACCACCCCATCCCACCTCTTCACCTGTTCCCTTACCCTTACCTGCTCTAGTTTGTCGTATGCTGCCACAGCCTGCCAGTACATCGTCTGGGCAAGCTGGAGAATCGAGATCGAGCCAATCCGAAAATTTCGGGGGCTCGGGGCTACAGGACCACAATGGCTGGTGGGGGCATTAAGAAAAGAAGGAAAAGTGCGCTCCTGGCTGCGCGGCGAAGCTTGGCATGCAGTGTGAATCCACCACAGAAAAAAGAGCCTCGGATGTACTGGTCCTTTATGCCATGACCATGCATTGCTAGAGCTCTGCCCACTCCGATTCAAAAAAAAAGAAATGCTTGGTGAAACCAAACCAAGTGTTGCTGCAGCATCCTTTGGTCGTGACCCCTGTCGAAAGCTCATGTCTGCTGTGCAGCCTAGAACATACCACCATTATCTGTGTATCTAGACGGAAAGTAGGCCCAAATATACAGCTGCAATGCCTGTACGGCGTGTACGCTCTACTGGGGCGAAGACGGCAGAAGAAGGTACTCGATTGTGAAAAAGGTTGTTCAGAACACACTTCTGTACAATGCAGTGGCACACTTAGGAATCAGGTTGCTGGTATTCTAATGGGAACTGATGCCGGCCCAGAAATTTCTAATCCAAGTTTATCCAACGCTATATTGGGACGAAGCGCGCTTTGTTGATGACTTCGTCAACATGGTCTTCAAGGCGCTCAGCAATATGCTTTCACTTATCGCCTCATTGATGATGTTCTTTCATGGGGGCGATAACCTTCTTCTCCAGAGAGCTATGACCTTGAGTGGAAGGAAACTACAGCTTCAGATGGCTTGTGTACCTTTGTAGATATGCAACTATGGGTCTGATTTGATGGCTTGCTTCAAACGAGTGTCTTTGATAAAGCGGCTGCCTTTGATAACCTTCTTCTCCTTCATTTTCTAAGTTCAACCCCTCCTGCATCCCTTCTGATCAACAGGCTGGTGTGCTCACTGGGCAATTGACCAGTTCCGAACAAGTCTGTAACAATTGGCAGGACTTTCAAAGTGCGGCAACAACACGTACTCACCGCATGCTTTCTCGTGTACATAACAACACGTACTCACCGCATTTTTTCTCGCGTACATAACAACACGTACTCACCGCGTGCTTTCTCGTGTACATAACAACACGTACTCACCGCATGCTTTCTCGTGTACATACCCCATCAACCCTTCCTAAGGGTTGGACCTGCTACATGTGTTCCCACAAATGCTGCTATCCTACACATGTGACACGTCTCTCTCAGTCGTTTTGACGCATGCTGCAATGGTCCCTGTATCATCCACTTTCTTCTTTTCCCGCATGAAGCTTTGTCCTCCCGCTGTTTGCGCATCTGCTACTGCTGCAATTTTTACTGCTGCAGTTCCTACTACTGCAGTTTCCACAGCTACAGTTTCCACTGCCCTAGTTTTCTCTAGTGCAGTTTTCACTGCAGCAGTTTCAACATCTGGAGTTTCCCCGAACTGCAGTGTAGTCAGAGATTGTCATTCTTTGAGAATGGTGAGCTCCATGCATCATGCTTGATATTCATGGTGTGAGCTTCTGGGATTTGGGTTCAGTACAGTCGGCAAGGATGCAGAATCCTTACCTCAATGGGAAAACGGACGTCTTGTTGTTTGACAGAGTTGATCCAATGATTTTTTAAATATTTTATCCTTCGAGGCTTCGAGCTCTTGTTGGTATTTGACACAGGGTTTCTTAACTTAAAAAAAAAAAGAAAAAAAAGGGCAATGGGCTTGAGATATCATCATCAAACTGACCGGCCCTTGGTATTCAGAATTGTGGTATTTTGCTCATCTGCCTCTTGTGGAGTTTGATCCGTATTTCAACAGTTCAGTTCAGGGGGGGTGTACCGACTGAGCTAGGCCAGTTGTTGGTGTTTGACAGAGTTATATGTTTGTTTGATAACTTTCGATTGCCTCTTTTTCTGGCATGCGTTTCCCCTGATTGCCTCTTTTTCTGGCATGCGTTTCCCCTCTGGTGGATTGTATCGTCAATTGCAGGCGGTGGATTATGTCAAGAGTGGGATGGTCTTGGGGCTGGGAACAGGCTCCACTGCAGCATTTGCTGTTGCAAGGATCGGAGAGCTCCTGCAGGTCAGTCTCTGTTGTGCAGGTACCCATTTTATGGGGTGGTAGGTGAAGTGTGCTCGGAATGGATGCCTGCAAAAAATGGGTTTCTTCGTCCCTGAAAAGGTACAACTGTATTCTTTCCGTGAACGGATTGCATGGGCTCACACAATCCGTCCGTCCTTCCCCGATCATGCCACACCGACGCTGTCATGACTCGTGGCCGAAAAACAGTAATAAATTCGGCGTACCGAGTTTACCTGCGCAGTGTCTGACATGTATACATGCAGGCAGGTGCATCTGAGTGGAATCCTGTCTGTATTCGTGTCTATGAATCCTGCGTATTTGCTACATAAAGGGGTGTTCCCTGCAGCATCTGAGTGGAATCCTGTCTGTATTGTGTCTATGAATCCCTCGTATTTGCGACATAAAAGGGTGTCCCCTGCAGCGGATCAGACGATATGGCTTGTGGGTGGTCAGCGTCAGACAGACTCCATCACAGTCGTTATCGTCGACAGCAAACCGACCTACATATCTTTTTGTTTGTTTGTTTGGCTAGCATCTTCACCCGAGTTGATCGCCTGTTTATTATAGCTGTGGTTGGGGCAACTTCCAGTCCAGATGCAGTGATCGTGAGGGGTGTTCGATCTAGTATTTGGATGAAGATGGTAGTGCCGGGGTTGTGCAAGGCTTGGGAATTAGTGGATGAATCATGTTGAATTGATATTCATGCCAACAAATGGTTGATGGTGTGGGTGAAGAAGGATAGAGGGTTGCATGGTGGTGAAATTGTGAAGCCGGGGCTGATTAGTCACGTATATATGATAAGATCCGTCTAATCATCCGCTGTTGGTTGGTCTTCTTTGTGTTTGACAGAATGGGACATTGAAGAACATTGTGGGAATTCCAACCTCAAAGGTACTTCTTCTTGAGTTCACCCACCTGGAAAGAGTCGAAAGTTCTCGAAACCCTTTTCTCCGATGTGGCTTCGTGACTGAGATGGACTTTTTTTGTAGGCATGGATGGCGTATTGTGATGAAGTCTTCAGGTGCTCCTGATGGTTGTAGAGTGCAGTCTCTTGCTACCGTGCTCCCCCGAACAGAAGGTACACAGTCATTGTGGCTGTATTTGGGCAACTTTCAGTCTAAGTACAGCGATAGTGACCTTACGTTCTGTTCAGGTGCAGACGGGAGCACAGTGTTGGAAAGAAGTCTTGTATGTCAACTTTGAAGCCAAAGCTTTAATAATAGTTTATATCCCCCTCGTTCAATTCAAGTTCCATGCATATGGCCGTGTTTTTTTTTTTTTTTTTTTTTTCCCCCCCCCCCCCCCCCCCCCCCCCCCCAAAAAAAAAAAAAAAAAAAAAAAACACACAAAGCCCCTTCTATTCTGGCGGGAGAAGTCCCGTGACTTATCATCGGCAAGCAAGCATGTTTGAGACATCCAAAGAAAGGGGGGAGCTCAGATCAGAAAAGGGGAACAGCTCAACCCTTGTGGCATTGATCCGTCTACCAAGGGAGGACCTGCTAGAGGGGGCCCACCCCCCCAAACCGTGGTCTTTCTCAGAGGGCCACCCTGCTGGCCGGGAGGCTTCCTAGCAGCACCGAGACACGCGGCAGGGGGACCCTATTGACCAGTGTGTATAATATATTAATATCCATACAATATATTAATATCCCTATGCAAAGGTAATGCAACTTTTGAGAATTGTTGTCGTGGAATGAATGATTGGAAAAACCATCTTTGTATTAAGCATAGAATCTATAGATTCTATAGAAATGAATGATGGACGACCGGCTTCTGTATTATTTTGCACTGGAACCGTGGTTTCGTTTTCTGTCGCCCGGTCGGCCTTCACAATTGGTTGCGCTGCTGCTGTGGATGAAATGGTAAGGCCAGGATATTTCTTTCAAGTGCAGAGATTTGATGCTGTTGTGTGGCTAGCCTGTGTGCTTTGTGGTGCGGCGGTACAGTGTGTACGCGTATTCCGATCAATTCTTTGGTCAGTGATTTACTATTAGTTGTCATGTTTAGTGACTTCAGTGTCCCGGTTGCTGTTTCGGTGTGTTTTGGGGTGTGATGACGCCTTTGTCCCCCGACTTTTGCGATGATTTTGCGTGGGCAATTCTGCAGAGAACGGAAGAACAGGCTGCGTCTCTTGGCATTCCACTCTCTGGCCTGGACGATCATCCAGTGGTAAGTGAGGAATGAGCCCAGTGTACATGCGATGGAGTTGCCCCCAGTTTGCCGTGTTGCATTTCTGTGTTGGGGTGTAATAAATGTGTAATATTGTATATACATCTGGCGAGGGTGACCTTGGTTGCAATTTGTCAATGAAGTGTGTATGCATATACAATCATGGAATAAATGTCCATGGTCTAGCCACAAAAATCCTGTCCGCAGACTCCTCACCACGAAAGTGGATCACGCCGGCCGCACACTGGTTTGATATCGTCCCACCGCCAGACTTTATAGCATGGCTACCGCGGACCCGGACACCGAACCCAGACAACCAGTCGGTCTGGATATGATCCGGACGTCCGGACATGGTCCGGATCAGTCTCGATGGTCCGGATGATCATGTCCGGATCAGTCCGGATCAGTCCGGATCGAAAAAAACAAAACAAAAAACTTGCAGGTCTCTTATGCATGTTGAATGCAGTTTCATCGTGTAACCGTGACTTAAGGGGAAGTGTTCCAGGAAGACATAGCTGTTGGCATATACGACAAGCATGAATGATCATTCTTTGACATGCACTGTGCTGGCACAGTCACTGCAAAGCACAAACTGCTGCAAGGGAAGAAAAAGTGAAGAAACAAAAAAAAAGACACTCCACAGTAAACCTGAATAAAGGTAAATATTAAATGAAGTTCAAGAC